GATAGATAGATAGATAGATAGATAGATAGATAGATAGATAGATAGATGAATGATATATTATCCCCCACAGCAAAGAGAAGCAGAGATGGTTAAACTGATTCTTTTACCCAAAGAAGAGAATATATTTAATTCTCTCTTTATTTTGAAACTGCTTCCGGCTTTTGTGCTTACAATGGAGAGTGGGGAGGGGAAATGAAATTTTGATTTTTCTTTTGTAAACTAGATAGGCTTATTGTTCTAGAAATGGCTTGCATATGCTATTGTGTAAAAGCAAAAAGTTGCGGTTTTACTGTGCTAAAGAGAGTCAGGTGTCAGGGCCTTTTTCTTTTCTTTTCTTCTCTCATTACACCACATTCCATCTTTTCCCTTCCCTCTCCTCTTACTTTTCCATGCTTTTTCTTCCCCCTTTGTCTTTTATACTTTGATAAACTAATTTTTAAAAAGTTAAAGGGGAAAAGGTAGTCCTCAGCTTACAACAGTTCGTTTAGCGACCGTTCAAAGTTGCAACCGAATTGAAGAAAAGTGACTTGGGACCATTGTTCACTCTAACAAGCCCTTATAGCATCTCCCATGCTCACCGGATCAAAATTCCGGTGCTTGGCAACTGGTTCATATTTACGACGGTCGTAGTGTCCCCCCCCCGGGGCCGCGCGATCCCCTTTTGCAACCTTTTGAGAAGCAATGCCATGGGGGAAGCCAGGTTCACTTAACAACTGTGATGCGAATTTATCAACTGCAGTCACAACCGTGGCAAGAAAGGACGTGGCTCAGAGGCGATTATGCTACCGGTTTGGACCGGTTCAACTGAACCGGTAGTAAAAACAAAAAAGGCTCCAACGATCAGCTGAGAGTAGAAAGAAGAGGAAAGGGCAGGATTGGCTCTCACACACACACACCCTGCCTTTTTCTCTTCTTTCTTTTCTCAGCGGATTGGCACCGCAGGCCTCAGCTGGTGTGGGGAAAGCTGGGCGCGCACATTAGGTGCATGTACACTGGGTGCACGCGGTAGTGGAATATGTAGGATCCCACCGCTGACATGGTCACAATTCCTTCAACAAAGGAGTCACTTAGCAACAGAAATGTGGGGCTCGGTGGGTAGCCGTAAGTCGAAGACTACCTGTGCTAAATATATATTTTTTATTCCCAAATGGGCCATGATCTCTGTCGTAGGGCGAGGGGCTCCACCCGCCTCTTTCTGGGTGTGTCAAATCCCGGACACACCAGTGACCCTGGGCGGGGGTTGTGTGTGTGTGGACTCACCTGCTCAGTTCCACGCCTCTTTTTTCAGGAAAGTGTTGAGCAAATTGAATTTTTCCATTCCCGAAGACATCGTCCGGAAGATTGCGCAGTGCACCCCTGGCGTGGTGGAGTTGGTGCTGATGCCGTTGAGACAGAAGATTGAGGAGAAGCAGAAGCAAGCCAAGATGTCAAGCACCTCTTACCAGGTCAGTAGAGTTTGGATGAGGGTCAGTGGAGTAAGCTTTGAACTTGATGTGGAACTCCCAGAATCCCCCAGCCAGCTTGCTTTAAGAGGGGTGGACTTCAACTCCCAGAATCCCTTGCCCAGCAGACTTTAAGAGGGGTGGACTTCAACTCCCAGAATCCCCCAGCTGGCATGGTTTAAGATGCATAGACTTAAACTCCCAGAATCCCCCAGCCAGCAGGCTTTAAGAGGGGTGGACTTCCACTCCCAGAATCCCCTACCCAGCAGGCTTTAAGAGGGGTGGACTTCAACTCCCAGAATCCCCCACCCAGCAGGCTTTAAGAGGGATAGACTTCAACTCCCAGAATCTCCCACCCATCAGGCTTTAAGAAGGATAGACTTCAACTCCCAGAATCCCCCACCGAGTAGGTTTTAAAAGGGATAGACTTCAACTCCCAGAATCCCCCAGTCAGCATGCTTTAAGAAGGATAGACTTCAACTCCCAGAATCCCCCACCGAGTAGGTTTTAAGAGGGATGGACTTCAACTCCCAGAATCCCCCAGCCGGCATGGTTTAAGATGCATAGACTTCAACTCCCAGAATCCCCCGCCCAGCAGGCTTTAAGAGGGATAGACTTCAACTCCCAGAATCCCCCACCGAGTAGGTTTTAAGAGGGATGGACTTCAACTCCCAGAATCCCCCACCCAGCAGGCTTTAAGAGGGATAGACTTCAACTCCCAGAATCCCCCACTGAGTAGGTTTTGAGAGGGATGGACTTCAACTCCCAGAATCCCCCAGCCGGCATGGTTTAAGATGCA